GTTTGCAAGCCAAGGAGAGAGGTCTCAGGAGAAACCAGCCCTGCTGATAACCTTGAATTTGGACTTTCAGCCTCTAGAACTGTGAAAACCTGAATTTTTGTTGTTTAAGTCATCTGGTCTGTGGCATTTTGTTTCAAAAGCTCTAGCATACTGATATAGTTTGATACTTTGAAGTGGGGCGCTGTTGTAACAAATACCTAAAAATATGGAAGTAGCTTTGAAACTGGATAATGGGTAGGGGCTGAAAGAGTTTTAAGTACATGTTAGCAAAAGCCTAGATTGGGGCTGGCAGGTGGCGTGATGGTTAAGGGGGCTGGATTCCCACATGGCTGACTATGATTCAAGTCCCGGACCTGGCAGCTTCCTTTCTCACTTTCCCTCTCTGTCTCTCTCTAGCCAAATTTAAAAAAGAATGACATTGATGAATAAGGTTAATTCTAAAAAAGAAAGAAAGAAAGAAAAAAAAAAAGCCTAGATTATTGCTATGATCTGAAAGTTTGTGTCCTAGTATGTTAATGTGTTTCTAACAAAAATACCTGAGATTGGGGCCAGCAGGTGGCATGGTAATTAAGACACTGGACTCCCACATGGTCAACCACAGTTCGAAAATAAGAAAGCAGTTTGTTTTCTTACTTTCCTCCCTCCCTGTCTCTCTCTGGTAAAATTAAAAAAAATAATAATGGTGAATAAAAATAAAATAATTACCCCCAAAAAAACATACCTGAGACCAGAGGTCAGGAGGTGGCACAGCAGTGAGATGTGACACTGTGAGGAAGACCCCCTTGGGAAGGTTGTGATTGGCATCTGGTGATCTCCCTGAGTCACTGGGCACACAGTCTGGGTCTGGCCGAAGCTAGGGGTGGATCATGGCATTGAGACCCTGTCAGAAGAGCTGTCTCTCTCTCTCTCATTCATGGAATAAATAAACTTTAAAAAAGAGAAGTATCCAAGATTGGATTATAAACAATAGGTTTATTTGGCTTATGATTCTGCTGACTGGGAAGTCAAAGAGCATGGAGCATGAAGCTGGCGACTGGCTACCTCACAACATGGCCAATAAAAACAGGAAGGTGGGGGATAGGCAGCAGGTGACACGGTGATTAAGACTCTGGACTCCCACATGGCTGATCATGGTTCAAGTCCTGAACCCTGGTGACTTGAGGTTCACACTAAGTGTGTATGCATGCATGTCCAAAATCCCAAGAGGAGAATGAAGGAGAGGACTGCAGCTTGGCCATCTCCCTGGGGGGTGATTTCTCACTTTTCCTCTGTCTGTCTCTGTTGCTCTCTGTTGAACACATAAGTCCTATGGAAAAAAAAAAAACTAAACTAAAAAACAAACAAAAAAATCACAAGGGTGGGAGCAAGTGGCATAGTGACTAAGGTGCTGGACTCTCACATGGCTGACCATGATTCAAGTCCTGGACCTGGTCACTTACTTTCTCACTTTCTGCCTCTTTATCTCTGTCTCTGATGAGCATATGTGCCTTGTAGCAAATTAAAACAAATAATGATAAATAACAATTTAAAAAGAAATCTAATGGCATAGTGGTTATGGCACTGGACTCCCACATAGCCAACCACAGTCAAGTCTCAAAGCCAGCAGCTTGAAAATCAGGCTGGGTATGTGCTTGTGTGCATGCACATCCAAAATCCCAGGAACAGAATGGAGAAGGGATTGTGCCATCCTCCCTGGGGTGGGGGGGATTTCTCACTTTCCCTCTCATTGTCTCTTCTCAGTTTCTGTCTGGTGAGTGCACATACACCTATGGCAAAAACCTTAAAAAAAAATGGAATGGAATTTGCCCTTAGGTTTTGGACTTCCTTAGGACCTGCGACTCTTTTCTTTCAGATTCCTCCTTTCCGGAATGGGAGTATCTGCCTTATTGCCTGTCCCACCACTGTATTGTGGAACCAGATAACTTATCTGGTTTCACAGGTTCACAGCCAGAGAGGAATTTTTGCCTCAGGATGAATCATACCTCAAGTCTCATGGATGTTTGACTTAGATGCTATTTAGATGAGACTTGAGACTTAAAGTGAATGCTGGAATAGGTTAAGAGCTTAGGGTTGGGACCAGCAGACAACATAATGGTTACATCGCTGGACTCCCACGTAGTCGACCGCAGTTCAAGTTATATACCAAGCAGCGTAAAAAAACCCACACTTGATGCACGAGCATGCATGCATGCCCAAGATCCTGAGAGGAGAGTGGAGAAGGGATTGTGGTGTGGGCATCCCCCTTCGGGAGGAGGTGATTTCTTGCTTTCTGTCTGTTTCTGTCTGGCGTGCCCTATAGAAAAAATCTGTCTCTCCAAAAAAAAAAAAAAAAAAGCTTAAGATTGGAACCAGCAGGTAGTGTGGTGGCCAAGGCACTGGGCTCCCACATGGCTGATCATGGCTTGAGTCCCAGACTCCACAGCTTGAAACTCATGACAGGTATGTGTGCATGCCCAAAATCCTGAGAGGAGAATGGAGAAGGGACTGTGGCATGGCCATCCCTCCAGGGGATGATTTCTCACTTTCCCTTTCACTGTTTCCTTCTGTCTCGCTCTGGCAAGCACAGGGGCCCTATAGCAAAAATCTAAAAACAAACAAAAAACAACAAAAAACGTTTAAGGCTGAGCCAGTCCATGGGGTGGTGGTTAAGGTAGCTGGATCCCATATGATTGAACACATGGTTCAAGTCCCAGACCTGGTGGCTTGAAAAACATACCAGGTGAGGTGTGTAAGTGCCCACAATCCCAAAAGGAGGGAGAAATGGAGAAGGGATTGTGGTGTAATCATTCCCTGTGAGAGATGCTTTCTTGCTTTCCTGTCTCTCTTTCTCTCCTCTCTCTCTCACAAGTGTGCATGCGTTCTGGCAAATTTTAATTTTTTTCTTTTTAGTTTTTTGCCTTAGGGTGCATGTGCTCACTGGACAGAGAGATAAAGACAATGAGAGAGAAAGTGAGAAATCACTCCCCAGAAGGGACAGCCATGCCAGTCCCTTCTCTTCCATTCTCCTCCTGGGATCTTGGGCATGCGCACACATGCGCTTGGCATGAGCTTCAAGTGGGAGTCCAGTGACGTTACTGCTATGCCACCTGCCAGCCCCAAGCAAATTTTAAAAGTTTAGGACTTGGGGCCAGCAGGTGGCATTGGTGGTTATTAAGGTGCTGGACTCCTGTATGGCCAACCAGGATTTGAGTCCTGGACTTGGCGGCTTGTTTTCTCACACTCTCTCTGGTCAAATTGAATAATAATAATGAATAGAGGGACCAGCAGTGAGCATAGTGGCTATGTCGGCGTACTCCCGTCTAGTCTACTGCGGTTTGAGTCCCAGACCTGGTGGCTTAAACTCACGCCGGGCGCATGTGCATGCATGCCTAAGATCCCGAGAGGAGAATGGAGAAGGGATTGTGGCATGGCCATGCCCCCGGGGGGGGGATTTATTTTCTATCTCTCTCTTTCTGGCGAGCACACGCACCCTATAGCAAAAAATCTCTCCAATAAATAAATAAATAAATAAATAAATAAAGAACAGAATTAAAAAGAAGTCTAGGGCTGCTGGGATGAGAGTGAATGTATTTTGCATACAAATAGGACATGAATTTGGGAAGGCCAGAATATCCTGGACTGAATTGTGTCCTCAAACTATTATGTTGATGTTCTAACCCCCAGTACCATAGAGTATGACTCTACTTGGTGATAGGGCCTTTAGAGAGGTGACTACATTTAAATGAGGCTCATACAGTGGGCCCTAATCCAATCTTGACTACTGTCCAGCCCATGGCCTGATGACTAGAGGAGCTAGATTCCACATGGCTGACTGCACAATTGAGTCCCAAACCTGGTGACTTGAGAAACACAGGGGACCACGTGCACAGGTGCCCAAAATACTGAAAGGAGGGAGAGATGAAGAGGGATTTGCATTGTGACATTTCCCATGGTGGTGTGCTCTCCCTCTCTCTGGCAAAAATTGCTTTAACAAAGTAAATTTAGACACATATAGATACTAGCTGTGTGAGTGCAGAGTCATGGGAGGATCCCAGTGGTGGTGCAGCAGTGAGGCAATGCTCTGCAAAGCTGACCCACATGGAAAAGTTTTGGGTTCATATCCAAAGACGTTCCTGAGCATACTGGCTGTGCACATGCCCATGATCTGGGGCTTACTGAAGTTAGAGGTGGATCATAATCTTGGTATAGGGACCCTGTTGGAGGTGGCTTTCTCTCTTGTGCTCATTGAAGAAAGAAACTTTAAAAAAGGGGGCAGGACACATAAGGACACCTATAAGAAGACAGCCACCTATAAGCCTAGGAGAGGTCTCAGGAGAAAGCAAATCTTTTGACACCTAGGCCAGCCTTTAGAACTCCGAAAACAGTCTGTTGCTTAAGCCACCCAGCCTATGGCACTTTGTTATGACAGCCTCAGCAGACTAAGACAAGGGGACTGTAGGGGCCAATTATAAGGTCTATGGGTTGAGAGATCAGTTGGCCTTGATGGGAGAGGTTGTGTGGTGAGTGATGGGGTCTGTAGGGTGAATAATGAGAGTGTGTGTAGTCAAAGATAAGAGGTCTATGTGATGACAATGGGGAGCTGTGGCTGAGAATGGTGATCTTAGGAATAATGGAGGGGGGACCAGCAGATGATAAAGGTTATGTCGCTGGACTCCCACGTAGTTGACCACAGTTCAAGTCCTGGACTCGGCGACTTAAAACTGACACCAGGCATGTGTGCATGCATGCCCAAAATCCGGAGAGGAGAATGGAGGGGTGATTTCTCGCTTTCTGTCTCTGTCTCTCTGGCAAGCATACATGCCCTACAGCAAAAATCTCTCAAAAAACAAGAATAATGAAGGGATCTGAGAGGTCCGTTGAAAAGCATCTCTGGAGTTAGGATGTAAAGATCTGTGTTAAAGTGAAGATCTTCTATTTCTTTTTTAAAAAATAATTATTTTATTTAATTTTATTCATCATTATTTTTATTTTTTAAATTTGACTAGAGAGAGAGAGAAAGTGAGAAAGCAAGCCGCAAGGTCCAGGACTCAAAACACTATTGGCCATGTGGAAGTCCATCACTTTAGCCACCATGCCACCTGCTGGTCCAAGATCTTTTATTTCTTGCAGTCAATGTTCCAGCCTAGTCCATCACTCATCAGTTCTTCTTGCTCTTGGCTTTTGTGGCCTTGGCATCCAATATGCTCTGTGTGTGAGCAAGCTGCTTCATAGAGTCAAGCAGGAGGATTCCTGGTACCACCAGCCACAATGCATTCATGAAGACAAAGTAAAACCAAAAGTACTGGGGCTGGCCCAGTTCTCCATGCTGGAACCCGTCACGGTACTCCGTCACAAAGTAGAGCAAATCCCCGTACATCTGGCCTAGGGGAGAGAGGAGGGAAAAGAGAAATTCCTGTGAGGAACAGGAAGCTATCCCAAACTTTCTTCCAAATTGTCATTCAAGATCTTATTAGAACTCTAGATCCCAGACTTAGAGAGCTAAGAATTCTGAAATCAAAGAGCTGAAAAGCCGATAAATCCCCAGAAAAATAAGAATTCTAGAAATCAGACAGCTGAATACTAAGCTAAAGATAACTCATTATTTTCAGAATTTGAAGAAGTCTAAAATCCCAGAATTCAAGACAGCTCAGGATTCCAGGACTAAGGGGAACTCATATAAGGAGACTTCCAAAGAGTTCGTGAAACACCAGGTACGTATGTATGTGCATGCTTGTGCTCTAGGGTGGCTGAGCATGGGGTTGGATTGTGCTGTGAAGACCCTCTTGGGGTTGCCAGTCTCTTTCTCTCATGGAATAAAGAAACTTTCTTTTTAAAAAAAAAAAAAAAAGTTTGTGGGGAGATGGAATTAAAGTACTACTTTATTTTAGTACAAACATTTTTGAAATTTACACTTAATTGTTTCATAATATGCATTTCCATGAACTTTCTGAAGACACCCCCCCACACACCACACACCACACACACACACACACACGCACTTCCAGAACTAAAGAAAGCTAACAATTTAAAAACACAAGGCAAGCCAGCCAGGTAGCATGGTGGTTAAGGTGGCTGGATCTCACATAGCACAGTTTGAGTCCCAGACTTGGTGGCGTGTGTGAGTGCCCAAAATCCCAAGAAGAGGATGGAGTAGGGACTGTGGAATAGCCATCCTCCCTGGGAAATAATTTCTTACTTTTCCTCTTTCTTTCTGGTGAGCGCATGTGCCCTATAGCAAACTACAGACACACACACACAAATACTGAATCTCAGATGAAGGGAACTCAGAATCCTGATTCTGGAGGATCCAGGGCCTTCTTGCCATCATGGCCTACCCTCATACACCCTTCACAGAAGACTCTCTGATAGAGAAGAAATTAATCTTTCCTGCTTGAGAGCACAGGCTCAGAGAGGGACATGGGTACTCCAGAACCTCAGGGAGTTTGTCATCCATTCTGATTCACTCCTAGATGGGCGCAAGGTTAAAGATCCATCCCACCTGGGACCCAGTGGCTTAAAACTCACACCGGGCGCATGTGCGTGTGTGCCCAAGATCCCGAGAGGAGAATGGAGGAGAAGGGATTGCGGCATGACCATCCCCCCTGGGGAGTGATTTCTCGCTTTCTGTCTCTCTGTCTCTCTCTGTCTGTCTGGTGAGCGCACGCGCCCTATAGCAAAAATCTCCCCCCCCCAAAAAAAAAAGATCCATCCCACATGCAGGGTAACACCTGCCTGTGGATCTCATATCAACCACCCTAGTACCCAATGTAGGTCCTCTCCTCACCCAAGGAGACCACGAGCTGTAGTACAAAGCGGAGGGGTTGCTGGCGGAGAAAAGCAATCACCACCCACAGGCTGAGTGGTCCCCACAGGCAAGATGTGATGGTTTCCATACATACTGTGAAGTTGTCACTCCTGTGGGAGAAAAGATAGGAAGATACTGGCATCAGTGTGCTCTGCTCACAAGGTGCCCCATTAATGCCCTGACTTATCCCCCCACAACCCCTCACAAATCAACACAGGTCTTCATCCACAGAAGCAAACACTTACAGGATGTATCGGCTGTCACCCTTGGCATATTCCTTCCCTGAAGAAAACAAGAGAGATGCATGAAGGATGAAGGCAGGAAAAGGAACTCACACTTGTGATAGCTGCAGACCTCTGGCAAAACAGATTTTAGGGCTCACAGGTGGCATGGTGGTCGAGGCAGCTAAATCCCACATGGCTGACCACAAGTCCGGACCCAGCAGCTTGAAAAACATGCTGGGCATGTGTGCACACGTGCCCAAAATCACAAAAGGAGGGAAATGGGAAAGGGATGGTGGCATGACCATTCACATGGGGGATGCTTTCTCACTTTCTCTGTCTCTCTCCTGTGAGCACACATGTCCTCTGGCAAATTAAAAAAAAAAGACTTTATAACCTCCCCATGCCTCAGTTTCCCCACCTGTGAAATGGGCTAGCTGTTTGGTTTCTAGAAGTTACTCTATAATAAACAAGATAACATGTACAAAGTCTGACACAGAACAGTGCTGTGACTGTTTGGGACTCAAGAAATGTTTGTGGCATTGGGGCCAGCAGGTGGCGTGGTGGTTAAGGCACTGGACACTTTCACATGGCTGACCATGGTTTGAGTCCCAGACCTGGTGGCTTGCTCTCTCATTTTCCCTCTCTCTCTTTCTTTGTCTCGCTCTGGTTAAGTTGAAATAAATGAATGAATGAATACAATTAAATAAATAATTCTTTAAAAAAAAAGAAGAAGAAATGTTTGTCACATAAAAGGAGGGCAGGTGAAGTGAGTAAAGAAGTCAGTGGGGTTGGGGAAGGCCAGTGCATGCAGTCAGCAGATGAGTGAATAATGAGTGAAGAATAAGCCCACTCATGACCAGCAGTTGGTGTAATGGCTATGTCGCTGGACTCCCGTGTAGTCGACCACGGTTCAAGTCCTAGACTCGGTGGCTTAAACTCACACAGGGCGTGTATGCATGTGTGTCCAAGATCCTGAGAGAAGAGTGGAGGAGAAGGGATTGTGACATGTCCATCCCCTCTGGGGGGTGATTTCTTGCTTTCTGTCTCTCTGTCTTTCGGGCGAGTGCACACGCCCTATAGTAAAAACCCCTCAAAAAATGTATTTATTCATTCATTCATTTTAATTTGACCAGAGAGAGACATGCCACTCAGTAAAAAAATAAAATAGACAGGTGACTTCAACATATTCTTTACAAAAGAGGATTTTCAAATTGACAATGAAAATATGAAAGGTGTTCAAACTTTCATAATCATTAAGGAAAACAAATTAAAGCCATAATAAGGCCTGGCTTGGTGGCACATTTGGTAGCAAACTAAACTGTAGGGCTGAAAGTCACATGCTTACTGGGAGTTCAGATCCCCAGGATGACTTGAAAACAACCCAGATGCATGTGTGTGTGTGTGTGTGTGTGTGTGTGTGTGTGTCCAAGATCATGATGATGTGGAGGGTCAGGGAAAGGGGAAATCAGGATATAACAAGACCCCATCAAAGGTGCCTTTCACCATCTCTTTGTCTCTCATGCACGCACATACACTCATCAAAAACAAAATAGAATAGCACAGCAGGTACTGTGGTGGCTAAGGCACTGGACTCCTACATGGCTGACCATGGTTTGAGTCCCGGATTTGGTAGTTTGAAAATCATGCTGGGCGCATGTGCATGCGTGCCCAAAATGCCAAGAAGAGAATGGAAGAGAAGGGATTATAGCATGGCTATCCCCCAGAGGGGGTGATTACTCACTTTCCCTTTCACTATCTCTCTCCGGTGAGCATGCGTGCCCTATGGCAAAAATAAAATATACTTCAAAAGAAGAAAAAAGATCTGAGTTTCATTAAAACCATGAGAGGGACCAGCAGGTGGCATAGTGGTTAAGACTGTGGACTCCCACATGGCTGACTATGGTTCAAGTCCCAGACCTGGCAGCTTGCTTTCTCACTTCCCCCCTCTCTCTTTCTGTCTCTCTCTGGTGAGCACACATGCCCTACAGTAAATTTAGAAAAAAATTAAATTTAATTAAAAAAAATTAGGGCCAGCAGATGGCATAGCATTTACATCATTGGACTCCCACATGGCCAACTGTGGTTCAAGTCTCAGACCTGGTGGCTTGAAACTTATGCCAGGCATGTGTGTGTGCATGCCCAAGATCCTGGGAGAAGGAGAATGGAGGAGAAGGGATTGTGGTGTGGCTATCCCTCCGGGGGTGATTTCTCACTTTTCCTCTCATTGTCTCTGTCGACACATGCACAAATGCACCCTAAGGCAAAAACCTAAAAAATAATATCACTCACATCTACTATAATGACTAAAATATTTAAGAAACATCTGGCCATACCAAGTATTGGCAGGCATGAGGAGGAACTAAGCTCTCCTAAAACTATTAATGGGAATGTAAAATGGTATAACCATCTCTGAAAATAGTTTGGTAGTTTTTCATAAAGTTAGACACATACCTACTGTAAGACCTAACCATCCAATTCCTACATATTTACCCAAGAGAAATGAAAGCAATTATCTACCAAAAGACTTATATTACAATGTTCATAGCAGCTTTACTCATGAGACCAAAAAGGACTATTGTTGGGTCAACTGCATAGTCTGTTGCTTAAGGCAGCTGGACCCCACATGGCTGACCACATAGTTTGAGTCCTGGATACGGTGGTTTGAGAAATACACTGGGCACCTGTGTGAGTATGCCCAAAATCCCCAAAGGAAGCAAAGATGGAGGAGAATGTGTTATAGTGTGACCATTTCCCATCAGGGTGGTTTCTCCTCTCCCTCTCTGTCTAGTACATGGGCCCTCTAGCCAAAAAAAAAAAAAAAAAAGGAAAGAAATAACATGGTGTACTGTTTACACAGCAGAAAATTGGGAGAAAATGTCCATCAGTACCAGACAAGTCAAATAATTCTGTAACATCCATACTTTGAAAGCTCTTTATGAATGGATGAGAAATGACTCCCCTTAAGAAAAAGCTAAGATCAGAAGTACATACAGCATGTTACCATTTGTGCAAAAAGGATTATAAATAAACACAACAGTGATGAGAGTAATAGTAAACATGGCATCTACAGTTTACCAAACACTGTTTTTTCTTTTTAAGAGAGCTTTTTTTTTTCTATAGGGCACATATGCTTGTCAGAGAGACAGAGAAACAGAAAGCGAAAAGTCACTCTCCAGGAGGGATGGATGGCCATGCCACAATCCCTTCTCCTCTGTTCTCCTCTTGGGATTTTGGGCCTATACACACACAAACCTGGTGTGAGTTTTAAGCTGCCGTGTCCAGGACTTGAACTGGTTGACTCCATGGGAGTCCAGTGATGTAACCATTATGCCATCTGCTGGTCCTACCAAACGCTGTTCTAAAGTACCCTGCATAGGGGCTGGCAGGTGGTGTGGTAGTTAAGGGCGCTGGACTCCCACATGGCTGACCATGGTTCAAGTCCTGGACCTGATGGCTTGCTTTCTCACTTTCCCTCTCCCTCTCTCTCGCTCTGTCCCTCTCTAGTCAAATTAATATAAGTAAATAAATAAATAAAACAATGCTTTAAAAAAATAAAGTATCCTGCATCTATCTGGGTATCACTATTACTACCCTCTATGACTGAGCGAACTGAGGCTGATGTGTGTAATGTACATGTAAATAAACTCAGGAAGGAAACACAAACAATTAACAGCAGTTAACAGTCTGGAGAGGGGCCAGTGGTGGTGGTGTAGTTTGGGGTGCTGGCCTCCCACATGGCTAACTTCGGATCAAGTCCTGGATCTCACAGCTTTCTTTCTCACTTTACCCCTCTCTCTGTCTCTCTCAGGTCAGTGAATGTGTCCTATAGCAATTTTTTAAAAATGCTAATAAATAAAATAAAATAAATAAATATTTAAAAAAAACAGTGTGTGAAGAAATTTGGTGCCTAGAAGACAGATTTTTACTTCTTACCTCTTTAAACTGTTTTTTTTTTGGGGGGGGGGGGGAGTGTTCGATGGGGGCACAAGGTTGCCAGAGAGAAAGGGTGAGAGAAGAAAGCACTCTCCATGGGGAATGGTCATATTGCAATCCCCTCTCCTCCATTTCTCTCTCCTTTCAGGATTTCAGGCATGCACACACGCATGCCCAGTGTGTATCTCAAGTCACCGAGTCTAGGCCACAGTAAGCTATGCGGGATCCACAGAGTTGGTCAAATTTTTTTTAATCCATGTCAATATTTGTGCAACAAAAAAACCCAAAGTTTTGGGGCCAGCAGATGGTGTAATGGTTACATCACTGGACTCCCACAGGCCGACCACAGTTTGAGTCCCAGACCTGGTGGCTTGAAACTCATGCCTGGCACCTGTGCGTGTGTGGCCAAGATCCTAGGAGAATGGAGAAGGGATTGCGGAGTGTCCAACCCCCCTGGGGGAAGCTTTTTCACTTTCCCTCTCACTGGCTCTGTTTTTCTCTCTCTCTGGGGAGCACAGGTGCCCTAAGGCAAAAACCTCTAAAAAACTAATTAAATGAACTTTTAAAATAAAATTAATGGTAGAATTGGTTTTCTCACTTTACCCCTCTCTCTGTCTCTCTCAGATGAGCATATGGCAGAATTGGTGGGTGAATAAGCAACCAATCCCTGGTCAGAAAACTCCCTCCCCAGCACATAAAAGAACTGGACTCACAGAGTTGAGATAAGAAGGCCTGGTCTCCAAGCAGGTCCTCATGGTAAAGACAGAACCAGCCCTCAATCACCAGGTGGATGAACCCACATACTGCAAACCAGCACAGGGACAGTCGCCGCCAAGTCCCTAGTGGGACAACAGCAGCACGACTGGACAACAGCCATGTGGTCACGACTAGAACTCCCGAGGCAGAGAAGAGGCCAGCCAGGATATGCCAAGTCGGGCGGTCATTAGGCACAAAGTTGTCCAGCCTTATGTGCCGAGGCCAGTATGGATGCAAGGGGTTGGCGTTGGTGGTCATGTCTTGGTGGGCTGATGGCTTCGTGTGGTTAAATGGGGAGAAGAATAAAGGAACAAAAAAACCTAGGCAAATAGAAAGCATAGAATGAGATTTTTAAAAATCAAATCCAAATATTTATTACCATACAAGCCAAATGATAGTGACTGAATGTTTTAAAAAATAATGAGAATAGGGACCAGCAGTCAGCATAATGGCTATGTCACTGGACTCCCACGTAGTTGACCGCAGTGCAAGTCCTGGACCTGGTGGCTTAAACTCACGCTGGGCGCGTGTGTGTGCGTGCCCAAGATCCCGAGAGGAGAATGGAGGAGAAGGGATTGCAGTGTGGCCATCCCCCGGGGGGTGATTTCTCATTTTCTGTCTCTCTGTCTCTCTGTCTGTCTGTCTGGCGAGTGCACATGCCCTATAGCAAAAACCTCTAAAAAAAAAATGAGAATAATCTGGAAAAAAGAAAGAAATGTAAATGGGTTGAATTTACCAGTTAACTGATAAGACTGTAATACTGGATTTACAATAACCTAATCACATGCTGCTTTAAGAACACAATTAAAATTTAAGGCCACAGAAAGACTTGTTCCAGGCCTCTGCGAGTCAGATTAGGATGTGGTAGAAACAAGAAACAGGCTTGGTCCCAGCCCCCAGGGGCCAAAGTCTGGTGGGGACACACAAAAGGAAGCCTGTTGCCATCCTTCAGAGGTCATGGTTTGGTGGAGGACAGGCACCAGATCTGGTCCCACTGCAGATGTCTGTCTTGCACCACTGAACAGGAAGCTATTCCCTTCCCGACAGTTCTGGAAAATGCGGCTGAGGTTAAGAGAAAAGGGTAACCAAAATCACAACCCTCAGACCTAGCGTTGGAAAGCCAGAGCCACCTCACAATACGTTCAAACGCTCCCAACCTGCAGGAAAGAGGAAAGGTGCAAGACAGCGGGATTGCCCGCGCGGCAAGAAAAGGAAAAGGAGGATCAACTAGAGAGACCACCAATCAGAATTAGTCCTCCAGCCAGCCGCCCAATGAGACGGCGGACCTTTTGTGGTCCGGACAACCGTGCAGTAGCCTGGGGTCTCGCGCAGGCGCAGGAGGGTGACGGTGGGGAAAAAGGCTTTCGCTGAGGCACACCGAGGGCTGGCAGCCCGGCGGACAGCTGGAGGATGGAGTGGCGGACCGAAGGGAGGGTACTCACCTGGCCGTACGGTAGCAGCGGCCTCTCCCACCTTTCTCTAGGTTGGCTCGCTGGCTCCGTAACCTCAGTAGTTCGGACCGGTCCCTTCACCGGTTCCGCCTTTCAGAATTGGCCAATGAAGAAGAGGGGAAGGCGACCAGTGCCGATTCCAACCAATAGGAGCTCCCTATGTGCTGCCGACCCCGCCCCCACGCGTGGTGCCATTTTCACTGTTGGCTGAGACCGAGTCAGGAGTGAAACAGAGGCTGGGACCGGGCAAGGGTGGGCAGCGGTCCAAGGTTGGTAGGCGTTTTTGGCCTGTAGCCAATCTACATAGAATCTTGGCTTCAATTTCCCCACCCCTTATCAGTCGATTACAACAGGGAATCGGTGTGCAGCTTCCTCGTCTGCTGCTGAATCGGCCTTGCGTGTGTCCTCTCACCTCTGCCCTACTTTTCTAGGCAGCGCAACCAGTTCCCAAATCAACCCTCAATGCTAAGGCAAGGAAACCTCTTCATGTTACAGGCAGATTACTCCTGTTCACTGCAACTCCTCCACCCATTCAGTACTAAGAGCAGTCACCTTCACCTCACTGGACTTCAAGTCAAAAGAACCAATCCTAACCCAAGCCCCTCAGTCCTGCTGGCCAATTGGCATGGAGATCCTCAGTCTCTCCCTGTCTAAAGAGCCAATCAGAGTACCATAACCCTAAACCAGTGGACACCCAGCCCAAGCGATTAGTCGTAATCCAGACCCATCCCAGACCACCCATTTAATGAGAACCCCTAACTTTTAGTCCTAAGGACCAATATGCATCAATCCTTCATCTGTCTTGCTTTCCTCCCTCACTGTCCCAGTCAGAGCAACCAATCAGAATGGGGATCCCTCAGGTTTCTGACCAATTAGTATCAGGACACCCCACATCCAAGTAGCAATCTGTCTCCACCCAACTCAGATCATGTAGGACTAGGACCCTGCCATCATCTGGATCATCATCCAATCATGACCAATGGAAATGAACCATAAACTAATCACGATCTGCTCCTTTTTCATGGTTTCCAGCCTCCAAACCTTTATTCATGCTGTGCCCTCTTCCCCACTCGCTCCTGTGCCCTTTTGAGTGGTGAAGAAAGAGCCTATTGTGTATTTCCTACTTTTATTCGACAATAACAAACTTTATATAAAAAGGGAGAAAGGCAGGGAAGCCCTGGATCTCCCCCTCTCTGTTTCCCCAAGCATCTCCCACCCCTATGCCTCATCAGGGACCACTCCCTTCCCGCCTTGTGGTGGGGTGGGGATCAACAGGCATGGAAATGGTATGTGTGTGTGCATGTGTGTGTGTGTGTGTGTGTGTGTGTGTGTAGGGGTGTTGGGAGTCAAGGACGAAGAGGGGCAAAGGAGTAGAGAGAAGGGTAGAGAGGAGTAGAGAGAGGGCCTTCCCTCATCCCCCGTCAGATCTGGCTCCCTGAGGAGGGGTCCTGAGGGGGCTGTGAGGGTTGTATGTCTCAGCCTATGAGACGGTAGAAGATCCAGCATCCAAAAGTGACCCAGTGACTGGCCCAGCTGAGTTCTGACCACTTGTGGACAGTGTATGCCATGCCGTAGCCCTGTGGGAAAGAAAGAGGTGATAGTCCCACTCAACGAGGACAAAGAGGATCTCAGGAAAACTCATCCTTTGCCCAAAGCCATTTCAGTGATTCTACAGTATCCCCAGGTGAGGCCCTGCAGAAGACCCTGAGAAATTACGAAAAGCAACCAGATATACTTGTTATTTTCATCTTCTTTAAAAGTCAATTTAGACAGACCAGAAGTTAGCATAATGGCTATGTTGCTGAATTCCCATGTAGTCGACCGCAGTTTGAGTCTCAGACCTGGTGGCTTAAGCTCATGCTGGGCACGTGTGCGTGCGTGCCCAAGATCCCGATAGGAGAATGGAGGAGAAGGGATTGCGGCGTGGCCATCCCCCCTGGGGTGTGATTTCTCGCTTTCTGTCTCTCTGTCTGTCTGTCTCTCTGGCGAGCACACATGCCCTATAGCGAAAAACTTCTCCAAAAATAATCAATTTAGAAACAAAACAATCCCCCTCTGACTTGTAATCTCCTTAATATATAAAGAACTCCTAGAAATCAGTTTTTTTGAAAGACAAAAATTTTCAAAGAAGATGAGTAAAGTTCCAATAAAAGAAAAACAAATGGCTCTTAAATAGATGAAAAGATGGTCAACCTCATTCATAAATTTTCTTCTATGGAACTGACAAACATACCCAGGAAGTTGACAGGCTCTCTGTACTGGTGAGCAACAGGCACATTCATATATTGCTGATGGGAGGGCAAAGATATAACTTGTCCATTGAGACTATTGGGAATAGATCTTACAGATCAAAAGATGTATGAGTCTGTGTGTGCACCCATGTGAATCCACATGGGTACGAGAGTTCTTGCTGCAGTGTCATTTTCAATAGGAAAGAACTGAAAATCACGTGAGTATTTATTAACAAGGGACAAATTAGGCCAGGCAGGTGGTATACTGGTTGAGGTGGCTGGATCCCACATGGTCAACTGTGTAATTCGAGTTTTAGGCCCAGAAGCTTTAAAAATACACTGGACATATGTGTATGTGTGCCCAAAATCTTGAGAGGAGAGTGGGGAAGGGATTGCAATATGGTCAATTGCTCTGGGGTGGGGGGTGCTTTCTCACTTTTTTTCTCTCTCCCTCTGTCTTTCTCTGGCAAACACATGTGCCCTATGGCAAATTTTAAAAACAGGGACCAGCAGATGACATAATGGTTACATTGCTGGACTTCCACATAGTCGACTGTGGTTTGAGTCCTGGACCCAGAGGATTAAAACCCACACCGGGCACATGTACGTGTGTGCCCAAGATCCCAAGAGGAAAAGGAGGAGAAGGGATTGCGGCATGGCCATCCCCTCTGGTGGGGGGTGGGAGGATGATTTCTTGCTGTTTCTCTGATAAGCACACATGCCCTGTAGCAAAAATCTCTCTGTGAAAAAAATAATAACAAGGTAGAAACTGAATTGTATCACATTCTTACAATGGTAAAAGAATGAATTAAGACACTCCGTATGAGAAGGTCTTCAAAATGTTCATGGAAACGCATATTATGAAAAACACAAATTGCAAGTGTTTGTTCCTAAGTAAATCTGTGTTGATATTCCATTTTTGCATAAACATTTTAAAGTTCCCTATTGAGTGGAAGACTTTTTAAGAATTACAGAACAGTGTCATTTGTGTGTTACATTTAGGGTAAAAACGGGTGGCAGGTAATAAAATATATATTGGTTTTGCTGTAGGGTACATGCGCTCACTAAAGAAAGAGAAAGAGAGAAATCACCCCAAGGGGATGGCATGCTGCAATCCCATTTTCTCCATTCCCCTTTTGGGATTTTGGGCACGCACACATACACGCCTGGCATGTTTTTCAAGCGGTGGGGTCTGGGACTGTAAACACTCAGTCAGCCATGTGGGATCCAATTGCCTTAACCACCATGCAACTGGATGGCCCCTACAGTTTATTTATTCATTTAGTTATTGAGGTTTTTGTCATAGGGTGCGCATGTTCACTGGAGAGATATAGAAAGAGGGAAAGTGAGAAAGCACCCACCAGGAAGGATGATCATGCTGCAATCTCTTCTCCTCTGTTCTCCTCTTGAGATTTTGCTTTTTGGTTTTTAAATTTTTTTCTTTTTTCTTTTTTCTTTTTTTTGGAGAGGTTTTAGCTATAGGGCATGTGCACTCGCCAGAAAGACAGAGAGACAGAAAGACAGAAAGCAAGAAATCACCCCCCAGGGGCGATGGCCATGCCACAAGCCCTTCTCTGTTCTCCTCTCAGGATCTTGGGCATGCATCCACATGCGCCTGGTGTGAGTTTAAGCCACTGGGTCCCAGATTTGAACCACAGTTGACTACACATGGGAGTCCAGTGACATAGCCATTATGCCAACTGTTGGTCCCAGTTTTTTAAAAATTTTAAAAGAATTTTTTTAACATTTAACTTTATTTATTTATTTTAATTTGACCAGAGAAGGACAGAGTGAGAGAGAGAAAGAGAGGAAAAGTGAGAAAGCAAGCCTCCAGGTCCGGGACTCAAACCGCGGTCATCCATGTGGTAGTCCAGTGCCCTTAACCTGCCACCTGCAGGCCCCTCCTCTTGGGATTTTAGACATGCACACACACGGCCTGGTGTGATTTTCAAGCCACTAGGTCTGGAACCGTGGTAGGCCATTTGGGCCATGTGGGAATCTAGCACCTTACCCACCACACCACAATGCCTGCTGACTCCCCTATAATATATTTTTATTTTTTATATTTGAAGCTCAACCAAAGGGATAATGGGAAAGAGGGACCGAGGAACACTGACTGCACAAGCCAAGAAACAGGGCATGATAAGCTTATGCCTCAGCCTCCCTGCCTTTGTCCTTATGGTTCCCATGAGTAGGTAGGTGCACCATCCCGGGTTAACCTCCCAGTTCAGGGCCCCACCTCACCTGCTCCTCTGTGGTGTCCTCCACATCGACATCAAACAGGGAGCCCAGGTAGGCCAGATGGAAGATGGCCAGGGCCCCAAAGAGCAAGTTTAAGGCTCGCACCCCTAGGCCCTGTGGGGGACAGATAAGATACACTTGGCAGCTATGCCTATTCACTGTCCCCCACCTCCCACTTGCACAGAGGAGCCCGGCGGGGGGGAGGACACACACAAGACACCATGGGTCTCAGCAATGAAGATACTCAGGGTACCCCTTGAAATAGGAAAAAGAATGCTATAATGATGTATAGTAAATGAATGTAAATAAATCAATTCAAATTAATAAAATAAAATAAGATTAAAAACTAAAAAAAAGGAGAGTAACAATTATTAAAAAAAAAAAGAAATAGGAAAGAGATAGTTTAAAGAGCTTCTTATGGGAGCTCAGAGGTACATAAGGACGAGAGTGCTGTTAACAATGAAGGCATCCAGATAAGGGGAGATGTTCACATCCAGGCAGAGGAAGCATGGTGGGGTTTTAGGTAAGGGATTTATGGTGATGAACA